AGATTATCTCAGTTTTAAGACCGCTTCTGCATGGATTTGGATGATGAGTTACATTTAGCACTGTATGCTGATAGCATCTGCGCTTACTGTTTAGATATAACAATACATTAAAATAATGCATTAAAACACTGCCTAGAGTAACTAAGAGTAGTACTTGTATTTTGAATATAGTACATGTTTCCTAAATCAACTCTACAAACATGCTCTGATGTTTTACTAGTTTGCTGAAAGTATTTACTATTAAACCATGTCAGGACAAACACTGAACTTACCTTCATTAAAGCAGTTTCACCACTGCTCTGCTTCATGTTTACGTATGCCCCAGCTTCCAGTAGAATAGCTACTGTTGTTAGAAAATTCTGGAAAAAAAAAACCAACAAAACAAATAAACAAAGCCCCAATACCACAAGACAGTAAGTACAAAATATTCTGGTTTTGTTTCAGAATATAAAATTACATTTATTTAAAATCCATCAGTAAAATCCAAAGCATGATTCTATGACATGATTACCAATGTTCTCTTGCATGGCTAATAAGCAATTCAGACTCAGGCAAGTAGACAGCCATAAGTACTTACAATTCTTATTTTTTTTCTAAATCTTTCAACAGTGAACACCACAGGAAGAAAACACGGGAATCAAGCTCCCTCTTGGCCTTGTATCTACTGCACATGGGAAAACACATGACCCAGCTTCAACAAAGAGCACACCCATAAAACATCCTCTAACCTTCTAGTTGGTCTTAGTTTGAGAAAAGCTTGCCACCATCTCCATCTCCCAACTCACAAATAGTAAGCCCTATTTATTCAGAGATTGCTTCTCAAAGTCTCCCAAGTTTGGATCCTGAGTAGCCAGAGATCATAACAACCAATTCTAACTCAAGAACTTCAGACCCATGATGGACAAATTCAGAGATATTCTTTGATCCTTTGCCTCTACATTCCCTCTCAATAACCCTGTGATATTCTCCACTCAGGGTAGGGTTTGTGATCAGAATTAGTTTACACTACAGTAACCACAGCTGCTGACATTATGCAGTTAATGTCACCCTGCTATATCCTGCCAACTACTTTTTAGGCATCATCCAAAGGAAAAAAAAAAAAAAAAGTTGTGTATCACTTTTAAACATAAGTAAAAGAGCCAAGAACCACAAATACAACAATAACAAAGGCAACCTTTTCAGCTGCGTGTATCAATGCAGTTGTTCCATTTTTCTGTCTCCCATTAACTTTAGCTCCTTTCCTGATTAGGACCCGGAGAAGGTCATCATGCCCACCAGCAGCAGCAAGCATTACCAGGGTCATTCCACTTGGGTCCTGCAACAAGAATCATTGCCATGAAAAATTCTTAAAATCAAATACTTTTAGATAAATCAAAGCTGCAAAAAAAAAAAACCTGCAAGTATGTCAACAGATTTCACAAAGATTCCCCTCCCTGGCAGAAGAATTCACACATACACAGCTGCCAGATACTGACAGACTATCACCTCCCACTTCTCCAGTCCATAGGTCTCACACCCTGAGCTCCGTAAACTGCAAATTCCGTAACAGTCTGAAGATCAGAATAAGAAAGAGGAAAACCAGAATGAGCCAGGAAGAAATGCAGCAGGGTATTTGAGGGTGGGGAAGGCAGCAAGACAGTGGAAAAGGAGAGCAGGAACCACTGGAGGAAAAGCACAATGGCTCAAGTCAGCTGCTACTAGAACGGTGCTCTTGGATTTTATCAGTGCAAGTATGAAGAGACTTCTGTGAGTGGCCAGTCTCCTCACTCATTCTTGCATTTTCCCCACCAGACACTATAATTCAAAGAACACATTTGCTTCAGTAGTTCATGTGGCATCTTTTCTACTAGGCCACAGAAAACTTAGCATAATACATAGTTCTCAAAATGCTATGTAATACAACTCCAAAAGATCACCAGTTGAAAATACTGGTATCAGAGATTTTAATCCTGAAGAATGAAACTATAGTGCTATTTAACATGAAAATAGATCCTTGGGGAAAAAAAACCCAAAACCCACAAACAAACAAACAAACAAAAAAAAAAAAACCAAACAAAAAAACCCACCCCAAACTGTAAGAACACAGCTGATACAGAACTGGCAGAAAACTACTAATTCATGGAGTGAAGTGGTCCCAGTCTGCCAAACAGAACATCCAAACTGTTTTCATGTATAGATGTTTTATATAGTTTAAAACCTCAAGGTGAGACAGAAATCTGCTACTAGCAAGAGGAGAAAGCTTTTCAAACAATCCAAATTCATACTCTTCCCTCCCACACCACTCCAGTACTTCTGGCAGAAAAATTACCTCTTGATCCAGATTATATTCCTCATTTGAAGAAAGTGCCATCTTTACTGTCATATAATCTCCACTTTTAACAGCATCCCTCAGGAGAGCTAGAAAGTAAGTTCAATGCAGTTATAAGATATTTCACTTCAAATCACCAGTTAAGATAATGTCCCTTTCTCCCAGCAGCTACTCACTACTTGATATCGGTTTTGTTGACACATGATTCTCATCTTCTCCATCAAGATGCTTTTGAAAGTCTTCTAGTGTCAGCCATTCTAACTGCATGTCCATACCCAAACTCAAGACTTGTTGCTTGCCATCTACGATGCATTTGATTTTATGGAAGAAAAAATGTGAAATAAGTAATAAGTAACTTATAAACTTCCAAACCATTCTTTGCTTGCCATTGCTTCAATGATCAGCAGCGTAACATACTACTATTTTTCATTCAAACAGACTCTGGAAGTCAGCGTGGAATGGTTCCAAACAATGAAGGCTATATTACAAGCAGACATAAAATGCTTTTACTTGAAACAAACTGTTTTATTTGTTCAAATAGATTGAGTTGAAGTGGTAAGAGATGGTGAACACTCCACTACTGCTATAGCAGAAACACACTGGAAACACACCAAGAAGTTATCAGTGAGTTTCAAAAGAAAATATCATTTCAGCCCCCTGCAGAGACAAGGATTGGAGCGCTAAAAGATGCAAGCAGGAATATTAATTGCCAGTGCTCAATTTTCCCCTGCATTTGTTTCTACTGCTCACCAGAGTTCTCCATTTGACACACATCCACTACTTCTTGATCACCTTCTGCAGCAATGTAAGTCCATGTGTCTGTTTCATCTCTTATGCTCCTCTTTTCCTTGTACACCTTGCTGTCTTTTGATTTTAATTCTTCTATGAGTTTATATTCTAGCGAAGATTCTTCTCTTTTGCAGTTATTCTCAGAATATTCACTTTTTTCTTCTGAAGCTACATTAAAAAAGTCAAATGCACTTTTGATGTCTTTAAAGTCTAGAATATTAAGACAGTTACCAAGAGTGACCACTTGAGCCACTAAAGACTATCACATAACAAAGTTTAAGTGAGTGACCAGAGTCCCTTTAGAAAATGGCTGTTCTCTTTCCATAAGTTAATCACTGCTGAAGCGTAGGAGCAAGCTGAACAACAAGCCAAAAATTGGGGAGAACCAGTTCACCTCCAGCTACCCTGGCAAGTCTGAGCTCTGGCTGCTTTCAACCCGGTACCATCTTCATTTGAGGATATGTAGTTTAGAATTATGCATAAATCACTACTTTGAAAATACAGTTCAGTCTCCGTGAAGAACAGATGAAAGACACGTGCTGTATAAGGAACAGTAATTAACCATTCTGTTTGTTACTACTTTTCTTAAGCATTGTAAACATCTATGCTACTTTCAGCAAAAGATGTTTATCTGGCAACAGCTATTTGAAGCATCATAGCTCCTCCTATATCCATTCATGATCACCAAAGGTGGAGTTTCCTAGTTTTTCTCAATTCATCCTCAGAGTAGTGAGGGAATCCTGAATAAAATCACCCAGAATTTTACTGAGATCAAGAGTGGTAACATTAATACTCCATTATACTATGACGAATAGAAATACAACCTAGACGTTTTCTTCCATGTATCAAATCATCCAGTTCTGGTGATACTTTAAGGGTTGTGTAATGTAACTCATCATTGTGCCTAAAGCAAGAGGCAAGAAGTTTAGGAACCTCTACTAGTTTTTCTAAACACAGAAAGTGAGTATCTACAGTATCATCAGAACACTTCTGGAAATAGGCAATAGTTGGATGAATTCCTCTTAAAAAAAAGATTAGTTACATCCACAGAAACACAGTTAACTGTATTAAATGAAAAAGGGAAAAATCTTGACTTGTCTATAAAACCTTAGAGATTTCTATATGCTTCCATGCTTCATACAGTAAAATACATATAGCGGTCTCATGAAACATATATTGACAAAGCTGTTAAAAAGCAGACTTTTGCTTCCTAAAATAAAAGCAGAAATTCTTTTTTCTCGTATGTGTTACAAAACCATACAATATCTGCTCTTGCAGAAGTAAGAGAATGCCCTGAAGGGTCTTTCCCTTCTCTCTTTTAGCCAGTTAGCACTTACTTTTTAGGCCCTTTTGTTCTTTTCTGCTCTTTTCTTCTTTTTCAGGCTCTTTTTTTTGATATTTTTCTTTTGTTTCAATTTTCTTTACTTCTTTCTCCTAAGAACAAAGATCAAATTAAAGCAGTAGAGAAAAAAAATGGAAAATAAACTCCTTTCACCACTCCAGTGATAAAATATATTTGAAATTAATACTACTGAAACCTGTATGTAGCAGACGTAAGGACATTCCTAAGAAAAGAATTAAGCAGGTGAGTTAGGATTTAAGTCTGTGAAGGATTCTTCCATTAAGAGAAAAGGTTATTTCCAAAGTAAAACAACCTCAATTCAGACTTTTACTGCATCAGTCATGCAAGGTGCTTTATGACATAAGGTGCAGATACGCCAAAACCAGCATTATGAAGGAAATTCAAAATTATGAACTTTTAATTTGTTCCAAATACTGAACCTGAATAGAATGTCATTATTTCAACATATTTAATGCTTTTGTAACACTACTCAAAGCAGTTATCATGGCACTGACTTGAACCTCAACTGAGAAAACTTGACATTTGTACACAGGTTGTTCCAAGTTTTCCAATTTACACATACAGAACTTAAAGGCAAGAGTCATTTGTGAAAAACAGACACTCAGAAAAATCCACCCAAACACACCATACTCACACAGAAGATTAAGCTTAGCAATATTTATAAGCCTCCATCAAAGGTTGCCTTTCTCCTCCTGTAATCCTCTCTCTCCATTCAGCCAGCAAATTCCCAACTGCAGATTAGGTGGTTGTTGTGGTTTAAGCCCAACCAGTAAAACTCAGCACCCTGCTGCGATTCACTCATCCCCACACACACTTCCCTCTCTGGGCAGGATGGGGAGGAGAATAGAAAGAACTTAAAACCACAGGTTGAGATAAGCACAGTCCAATAACTTAAGTATAATATAAACAACTACTACTACTAATGATAAGAGAAATAACAAGGGGAGAGAATATAAAACTAAAAGGGGAAAGAAGAAAAACCAAACCAAAACCAATAAACACAAGTGATGCACAATGCAACTGCTCACCACCTGCCAACTGATGCCCAACCCGACCTGGGCAGCGGTCTGAGCCTTCTGGGTAACTCTCTCCAGTTTATATACTGGGCATGATGTGCTGTGGTATGGAATACCCCCTTGGCCAGTTTGGGTCAGGTCTCCTGTCTCTGCTTCCTCCCAGTTTCTTGTGCCCCTCCTCACTGGCAGAGCATAAGAGACTGAAAAAGTCCTTGATCAGAGTAAGCGCTACTGAGCAACAACTAACACATCAGTGTGTTACCAGCACTGTTCTCAGACTAAAGCCAAAACACAGCACTGCACCAGCTACTAGAAAGGAGAAAAATAACTGTTATAGCTGAACCCAGGACAGTGGGACAAAGCTCCCTGGCATAGCTTTGTGTCAGCCCCTGACACTAACCTGATACAAAGCCCTGACTTTCAGAAAAACTGCTCCAAAGAAAGCCCCACAAGAACTACAGAACAAATTTATCATTAGGTGCTATCATTTGTTTGAAACAGAAAAAACTTCAATTAAAATAGATGAATTTGGTGTATCATTATGTGTTAGCAGAGCTAAGACATTGAGTAATCTTTCTTACCCCCTCACTTGACTTCAGAAAACCTCAGCTTTTGATCACTTACATGATTAACTAGTAGCACAGACAGCTGTTAATCCTGGCAGATGCCCAGTATTTAGGAGACCCATAATTTACCAAAGGGATTACCAGATACTTGTTACACAGAGGGACTGTTAAAATTAGTAATCATGAATTCTATTCCAGATTTACAATACTGATCTGATGCACAATGTACACTGCACATTTGTTTTGGAGGTAAATCAAAGGGAAAAAATGGTTCAGCACACAAACTGACTCTAAACAGAGAATACTGTATTACAAATTGACATGACAGTGTTCTCTAACCAGAGCAACATAAGGAAAGACTGAAACATAAGTGAAATCAAGAAATAAATCAATTTAAAAATCAATTTGAAAATAACAGCCTGCTTGGGCCAACAATTTAGTGAAGTCAAAAAACCTCCAGAATTCTCTACCAAGCCCGTCACATAAATCTACCGCTGCTCTGGAGAGTAACTAACCAGCTACAGAAAACACTGCTTAAGCCTCCTAGACTGAAAAAAAACAAAGAGGCAGAACGCCTTCCATGGAGCACAACCATGAGAAAGGCATATAGACAACATACTGAGAGTACTGGTCAAAAAGCCACAAGGAAACCAACTTTCATCTGCTGTTTATTTGTTCATGTTTGGGATGACAGGATTTTATACTACTGGTAAATAAAATTCCAAAGATTTATCTCATTATCATAACTTATGCCTCTCTTATGAATGCTATAGACTCAAACTACAAGAAAATACTTGAGTAATAAAGGACCACACCATTTCAGTTAAATAACCTTTTGAAACTTGGCTATGCTCACAGTAATCACTTAACCTTGTTTACCAAAGCTTTTACCAACTAGCTCCTGCAAAAACACTATTTTGTATAGCTCTACTGTGAGATTATGCCACGTAATTCTCTACCCCAAAACAAACTTTCTTATGTTTAAGATTGTTGTATGAATGGAGTAGACCATCTAAAGCACAGGACCACAGTTGAACCTACAGAAGAAACTTGCTACCATGGAATTATGGCCTCAAAAGAAATGGGATAAGAATCAAGGTTTTTTGGCTGCAAACCTGTTACAAATCTGAAAGCAGTTTCTCTGAGCAGCCAAAGTTTTATGAACTGCAAGATGTATAAGAACAGTCCGAAGAAGCTGAAAAAAATTATATTCCCAGAAACATTCCAAAAATACTGGGGGGTTTGTGTTGGGTTTATTTTTTTTTTCCTTTTACCATCTTGATTTCTTAAAACACTCCTGTATTAAATAAGGAAAAATAAATATTCCAGTATTGGCTTAGCTCATTCCTTCGGACAGGTAAGCATTTGTAACTAACATGAAACCATGTCATGAAACCAACCATTTTCTGTAAGCACCTCAGGAACTTTGACAAGACAAGCAAGCTGCACAACTGCCTGGGAAACTTGTGTTTAGAAGCGATTTCAGCATTCCAGTTCTCAGGGAGGTGCTAATGCACATAAGGTGTAAAGGAGTTACTGGCTTTTAAGTGAGATCAATTGTGTGGTTTAGTTCAAAAGTGCACTTTACTGTGCGGTACTGGATGGATAGCTGCTCAACACCGAATGTCTTACTACGCAAGCAGAAAAAAGTCAAACTGAGGCAACTGTTCAAGGCGGAGGGAACAAAGCTAAAAATGACAGCATGCTTTGGTGGAAAAGTAAATTGCATTCTAAGTAAATACACATAACAAACAGGAAAAATTCATACTTTCACATTTAAGGACACCCTTTGCTCCTCAAGTGTTTCCTCCTCTATAGTGTTCAGAATCCAGAAATTCTTCAGTCACTCCTATACATTGTGCAGCGGGCTTTTCTTTAGCTTCATCCAGCTCACTAACTTTCCAATCTGTATTTTTTTCTTTGCCATCACAAACAGCAGTCTTTTGAGAGATCTGCACCTCAAAAACATTTGATTTAACCCCCAGTCCCCTGACCCCTTCCCCTCAAAGCCTTAACATTGCTCACCTCCCCAGCTGAATCAGTGGACTTGCATCCCGTTTCATCAGAACTCAATTTTAAGCCCTTCTGCAGTGGTGAAGAAGCAGGTGATACTTTTTCCAACTCTTCTGGTGCTATTTTTACTTTTTCTTGATCTTTTTGCTTTTTGTGCATGTTTTTGTTCTCTAAATAGGTATCCTGAGTGTCCACTTTTTTACCTTCCTCAAAATCTTCAGCTTTCAGAATTATTTTCTTCTTTCTTTTACCCTTACCATCAATACTATCATCTTCATTACTTGCTGATCCATCAAGATGCATATCAGCAATGGAATCCTTTTCAGCAATTTCCTGTTCTAATCTCTCTTCTCCACTTACAACCTTTTCCTTCTCATCTTTATTTTCAGAATTTAAGTCTGAATTTTCATTATCAGTTCCTTGAGAAAATACATCATCTAGAATACTTGATTCTGAGTCAAACTGAACACCTCCATGCTTTTCCTTCTGTGACTTTTTATTTTCTTTAAAATCTTCTTTAGAGTTTATTTTTAAATCTTTAACCTCTCCCTTCTTTTTCTTGACTTCTTTAGTATCTTCTTTCCTTTGTTTCTTTGGGTCCTTTGAATCCTCCTTGGTTTCTAAAGTCCTTTTTTTTGGTTTTGAATCTAAAACCAAAGTATCTGAGGAGTTTTCACATTCTGTTCTGGGTTTTTCTTTGAATTTTGCAGACTTAGACGTTTTCTTCTTCAGGTCACCTGAACTCCGATCCTCTCCATCTTTTGACTTCTTCTTTTTCTTCTTTGGTGAAACACCATCTTTTGTTTCACTTTGCCAGTCACTGTCAGATTCTGCTTCAAATACATCATCATTTAGAGACAGTTTCTAAAAGGTAGGGAAAAAAAGAAAATATTTCTTTCCCCATTAAACTGTATAACTTTGGAGTAACTTATACAAAAATGGTAGTGGCAGTTCTTGTTTAAGTAAGTTTTCAAACACTTCAATCTTCTTATCACTGCCAACATCATTCCTCGCTGCCAAATTATAAAATTTGTAAATACAATTCTAGCTCACTTACCTAAATTACATTGCTAACTGCTTGGATAAGAATCAATACATACACAAGTCAAGTAAACCAATCGGACATCCAACAACTAGATTCCAGAACAGAACTAAATCTGAGCTATTTTACACCAGAAACTATTAATTGATTTTGTAAAATTTACCTACAGGTTTCCCAAAAATAGAGTACCAGGGTTTTTTTTAAATATTCTTATGCTTCATTTTCAAACTGATGCAGTTAAAAAGAAAAAAAAACAAACAAAAAAACATACATTGCTTTCTTGTAATTATTTTTTCTGTTTTCATATCTCACCAAATTAAATGGTTAACATGCAAGAATTCATCATTGTGCTATACAAACCAGGAGGGTGAATTGAGCAGCATCCAGCTTCACTGACAAAACAATATGCACGCTGATAGCAAACGGGGATTGTTCATGTTGTCAAAATCAAACTAAAATGATAACACATCATGTATATAGTCCTACTAAAAACCGAAATAAATTTTAGATGGATTTTGAGTCTACAAGCAAACTTGCTGATTAACAAAAAAAAAAAAGCCCCAAACTCCAACTAGAGAGCAGCAACAATATTCAGTTTCACATGAAACAAAACATTTTGACAGAAGAAATTCTTTAAGTCTTCTTAATTCCACATCCCAAATTTCTTCCCTTCTCCCATCCCCTCATTGGCAGAGCCTAGATAGGGAATACGTCTTCAAATTAAGATACTGGAAGGTGAAACATACCTGTATGTCTTTTTTTAGAGGTTTAGACTTATTGTCCACAATTTTCTTTCTGAATTCAAGCAGCACTTCTTTGCAGTCTTCCAAATGAACCTCTGGTTCCCAGGTATCATCATCAGAGGTATATCCTTTCCACCGTACTTTGTAGAGAATTTTGCCCTGTAAGAAAAAAGCCAAAGCAACATTTAATACAACAGCGCAGAGGACTGTGTCATCTGCTCAACCCCTGGGGTTGCATATTCATTTTGCGTATACAGAAATGAATGGGAGTTCAACCCAATGTTGACATAAGAATTCCCAAAATTACTTCCATCTGCATCACATACTGAACTAAGTAGGTTGTAAAATGCTTCAGTAGTTGGGAGTGGTTTTATCCAAAATATTTGTAATATCTAAAACATGTTCAGAGCCACAGCTACAATTGTTAATACCCAGTCATTTTACTGAGATGGATTTTCTGAATGTTATGAAACTGATTTTTAAAAAAAAGTTTAGTATTTCTTCTGTAATAGTTTCAACCTTGAATTTGTTGAAGAAGTTGATATAAAAGATTTGTAACACCTTAACATCATTCACCTAGTTTTATATTGAAATTTATAACTTATGTTAGATTTGTAATCAATACGACTCTTGATAAACTGAAATATCAACAACTGGGAGAAATCAAGGATCAAGTTAAACTTACACAAAATCCAAGCATGTGCATCTCAGTGGAGTTAATTACAAAGATTTTGGTAAAAGATTATGCACAAAAGCCCTAAACCAATTGTTTCAATAGTATTCGACTTCATCATGGGATGAAACTGCACCTTTTAGTCTCTAGCTTGGTTTTTTTCACTACATTAGAAAGTTTTCTACCTATTTAAAAAAAAAAAAAAAAGGCAAAAAGGTTCCCACCAAATTATCTCTTGGCTTTCTCCTAAATAAAGTAGTCTGAATCCTTACATTTCTCAAGATGGAATCCTTTTCTTAGAGAAAGCAAGACTTACAAGCTTGGACTCAGCATGCTGCCAGTACAGCCAGGCAAAAGACAACTAAAGGCCTCCTGCATCAAGCTTAACTGAAAAGCAGAGATACACCAGATGAAATCAATGCCATCACCTTTATTAATTAAACCTGCCATCTCATTAAAAATATATATGAAAAAAGCTAGCACCAAGTTTAAGGAAATCCATTATCCATATAAAAAAGCTAACTATGAATACAAGGCAACAGAGCCATTCCTGAACTTATTAAAAAATCTAAAAATTATTAGTATATGTACTACAGAAAGCACCTGTAGAGTGGAAAACAGCAATATCTCTTTCTCTCAAAAACAGATTGATAATGCTCTGAAAGACCCTATATGCTAACCACACCTGGAAAAGGAAAGCTTTGAAAGAACTGCCATTTGACACTTACTATTACATCTATTTACATCCAAAAATTTACATTTCTGCCTGAGCATCATTAAACTTTGATCAAATGTCATATATCCCATTAAACTTTAGCAATCAACTCTACTTACAATCTTCTGTATTTACCTCGCAGATGTATAAATAAATAGCCTATATTCAGATACATTATTATAATACCACTTCTTTTACAATTTAGCTTAACCACACACTCCCGATACAGGAATCACCTTTCAAAATCATGTTCATCTCTCTTTCTTGTAATGGGGTTACCCATGAATTAAACGACTAGAGACTTTCTTAATACAGTCACAGAATAATTTAGGTTATAAGGAATCTCCATAACTAACAAGTAAAATGCCTTACTCAAAGCAGGACCAACTAGATCAGGCTGCTTAGATATCTGTCCAGTCTATTTGGATTTCCCTGTGTTCCATCTTATGTACACCATACTCCGGATGCATCTCAGCAGTGCTGAGAAGAAACAAAGAAGCATCTCCCTCGATCTGCTGGCCACACTCCTGGATGCTGTTGGCCTTCCTGCTGCAAGAACTGCTGACTCATGCTCACGTTACTTGTCCGTGAGCACCCACAGTTCCTTTCCTACAAATCTGTTTCCCAGCCAGCTGCCCTCTCAGCTGTCTGGTAGTACCAGGTTATGCCAGTTCAGATGCAGGACTTCAGTCAGTGGCACAGTTACTGTTACACCCTTGTAAATCAGGTACAAAAGGAGCTGGAAGTCCTTTTTTAATTAAGTGAGAAAGCTGGATAAAGTATAATGCAAATGTAAGACTAGGTGGCTGTTAAATGACGTTTTCTTTACTAGGCCATGTTAACATTTCGTTTATCAGCAGGTCTAACTCCCCATCCCAATCCGTCTCTGGAGTGCTTTCTCTCATGCTGCCACTATTACCAGCTCCAGCAATGTCAGGCCTGCAAATGAAGAGTCCTTCTCTGTGCAGTGCTCTCCAGCTCTCCTGCTGCCTTCTGTGACTGAGAAAAAAAATGAACACACCAACCAGCCCGTGCTGGTCAGCTGAACACCATGTTCTGGACAGTGGTGACTGTGTATCTGCTCGGACTCTGTATCAAACTTGGGAACCACCAGTCTAAAGCAAGCCACATAAAATACATTTCACTGAACCTAACACACAGCTTTTTCCAGCCATTTTGGAAGATCGGAGTGGGTGCAGGTATCTTGTCTTGCCCTGTATTTCTGAAGCACAGGGGCACAGCCCCCATCAAAGGTGAACCATGCTACCAAGCTAAAATCAACACAAACTGGGTAAGGCACGTGTATACACTGTAAAGCACGCACATACAGTAAAGCTAATTGCATTGACCCAGCCTGGAAGCCTCAAGTGTGTACAGCTCAGAACCTCCTGCAGAATAGGAATGCAGTGTGGAATGGTTTTATGACACACACACCCCTCCAGATTTTAGGTTCCACTTCAGGGCAAGGGGGTACGGAAGATAAGTCCTCTTGTTTTCACACGTGACTTACCATTTTGACCAACACTCCATAGAGACAAAGCTGTAAGTACTGTATCACCTCACAAGCATAACATTCTTAAGCCATCAAGATATTTTAGCCAAGATACAACCTAACCATGATAGCATCACAAGTATCTAAAAAATTCTTGATCTGAATGGTTTCCATCTAAGGGTTTTGAAACCCTGATCTTTTACACCAAATAGGCAGAATTCTGTACTGCCATGTATCTGACTGAAACCTAAATTAAAAAACATAAAAAATGTTTAGGCACAAAATCATTTAAAAAAAAACAACAAACCAAACAACAACTCTGATAATTATTTTTTGTATCTGAGGTTTAAGAAATTTCAGAAAATCTTCAACGTAAGATGTTTTAAAGAAATAAGAGATGATATATTTTCTATCTAAAAGCAAAGATCACCACAGCCAGTTATTTTAATTGGAGGAAGTATCTCTTATTTTAAGAGATCTTTACACATTCTGTGAGTGAGTGAGTGAACTTAGTTTCACTAAATATTAACTGAAACTACCCCCAAGTTCTACAATATACTCAATCCAGCCCATTTCTGCGCTCACACACCTTACACTAAAACACTACTGCAGTTCAGCCGTAAAAGAAAAGAGTAGCTTAACTATGCAGACAAAAAAAATCCGAAACAACTCAGTAAAGCTACTCCAGATCTAGTCGCTTTAGTCAAAGCTGTAAAATACAAAAAGCTTTCTTGCAAAATTATGTACAGCGCGGCTTAAATTAGTTATAACGGAGCTACCATTTTTTTGCACGGTTTCACCTAACTCCAACAGACTCGTGGGGGAAGCCTGCCCGCTCCGCCTGCGCGCACGGCAGCGAGGGGAGCGCGGAGCACGCCAGGCGCACC